GCTAACTGTTTCGTTTGTTATCAGAAAGGAGGCATGGAATTAAATACACTTACAAAAAGTCATGGATGAGACAGTTAAGTCAAAGACTTGTTTCCATTGTGGCCCTTGACAAAGACAAGAAACACATCGTTGAAGCTCATGATAATATTACAAAGATAGAAGCTGAAGATTTCCGAGTAGCGTTAGCTCGCTAACTTGGTTGACCTTAGCTTGCCAGCTAAAATGCTTTAGCTCCTGTTACACAATACAGTGATGCTACAGCAGTAGGCAGTACAGCATATAGATGATTAACATTACATGGCTGGTGTGTTGAGGAAAGAAAGCTGCATTTTATAAACTGACTGGTAAAGAAAAAGAAAACTTTTTCTACTAACTGATTGGGACATAAAGGAAAAGTATTAAGTTTTATAATCATTTTTAAAATCCATTTTAATTATCTAACTGACAATTATTGTATTGTATTTTTGTCATTTTTGAGGCTCTATATAGTCATCCTTCTTCACGTGGTAATTTTGACTGAAGTCTGTGAACAATCTAAACTCTACTGTCTCTGATAAAGCCATAACCATGCTCACTTTCATTCATCCCCCACAGTCAAGTGTGGGTAATGTGATATTGAGCTTCTTGAACAGACCCTTAGCAAGCAGATGGCCAGCTATTCAAAAACGTCTGGATGCTGGAACCCCGAGAAAGAGCAGAGAAAAGAGGAAATTGAGGTTCAAGGCCGGGCTATACAACCACAAGAAGCTTTACAAAGGTTGTATATTAAATGTGCTATCAATACATTTGAACCTCTTGGAATATTTTTGAGAAGAAACATTATTTTCCACAGCGAAGACTGCTTCTCAAGGAGACCAGGAAAATACTTGGATGTTTGAAAGGACATTATATTTGGAGAGGCTTTGATTTTGATCAATTTCTGAGCTGTTTCTCATGTTGCAAGATACAATCTGACAGCTGTTATGGAAGAGGGGACCCAGCTGCTGAACTGAACTCCATCTTCCTTTTTTAGCCTTTTCAGCGAAATCATGAACACAGCCCACACTGTACAGCTTCCTTACTTCGGATTGAGCTCGCTCGTACACTGCTGGCTCATCAGGTGCAACACAGCAGACTGAGGGGGATCCTCTAAAAGTCAAGCCTCGCCTAGTGTCTGAAGCTAAAATCACTGCACATGATATCACTGTCTCTGAACACGCACTCCCTCTTTGACAGAAGCATTTCAACTGCTCTCTGCTAAGTCTAGGGAGAGGCTTATGACACTTTGTCTTGAAATGGCACATAGAGGAAGAGGGCACGAACACACACAAACATTGACCATCGTCATCATCAGCCATCAGTGACAGAAATTACAGAAAGTAACCACACATCTAAAGGCCGCTGAACTTGTCAGGTTCAAAGAACACAGTCAAAGCAGATGATTTCTGTTTTCTAAATAAGGCCATAAAATAGGCAGTTGTGTGTGTGTTAGTGTGTGTGTGTGTGTCCAGCTGAATGCTAGCAGTTGAACAAGGCATTTGACATTTGGCTCACACAGCTCACACACATTCCTATATCAGCTGACAAAAGAGTGTGTGTGTGTGTGTGGGGCCTGAATCACAGTGCTCACTGTGGTCCAAAGCCACTGTATACATGTTCATGTGAGCAATCTAGTCTTGAGTGTGTGTCTTAAGTAAACCGGCAAAGATTATAAAAACTATTCAATGTACAGGCGACCACTGACCCTGTTTGGATGTAAAAGCATAGCACTGAAAGCCTAACCTTCATGTCCCACTATTAAAACACTTTATGAGCTGTAATGTGAAAATTAATGTAAAAGATGTGGTTGAATATTAAAGTTAAAACTGATGCTTTTGAGGGAAAACACGTGTTTTTTTCTCATGAACGCCTCGGCCCGCGTCTTTTTTATTTATTTATTTTTTCCATTTGAACAATGTTAGCATTGAACTTACCTGTTGGGTCAGTGAAGCGGGTGAATCAGCCGTCCATGATGTTGAGTGAAACAGAGCCTCACATCCACGCCAACAAGCACAAAGTATTTGATGAGGTCCAGCTCTCGCGCGACACTGTTAAGTTTAGCCTCAAAAACAAAAGAAAAAAACCCCCGGCGCAATTGTGGGAAAGTAACTGCTCTAACAGTAGAAAGAAAACTCCAGAAAGCGTGTCTGTGTGCGGGTTCCCCTCCCAAACCAGGGACAGACTCTGTTGTTCGGACGCAGCGAGCGAGCACCTCGGGCCGTGCAGCACTCTAACATCTGAGACGGTTCAACAGCAGTCAGCGGAGCGGAGCGGCAAGACACACCGAGTCAGACACGGCGAGGCCGGAAATGCCTTCAAAATAAAGTGCGAAAAACAAATTGAAAAACCGAGAGATTACAGGGTTTAGGGATTACATGAAGAGAATGAAGACACTGAGACAGTTTAAGGCCTCAATTATACTCCTTTAAATCCACATAAGATCTTTTGTTGTTCAAGATGCTTGGAGCAACCTACCTGCCAAGGAAAAACTGTGTTCAAGTGTACCGAGGAGAGCTGAGCTGTTTTAAAAACAAATATTGATTGGATTTTGTTTTTTTTCCTGTTTACCGCACTTTGTTTGAAGTTAATTGAAAAAAAAATGCTGTTAAATTCTACTTCACAATATTCTTGACTGCTTTAGTAGTTATATTCCAGATCCAGGTTATTAATACAAACATCAGAAAATAAATTATCATACAAAATTAGCCCCTTTACCAGCTGCAACATTAAAATGATGGTTACAGATGTTATTCTGAAATGGACCATTTGGCATAAAAGAAAAGCAGTTTCAGTTTTGGGTTTTTTTTGTATGTTTTGATGCTCCCTAGTATTGCTACCTTTACATCTTCCACCACTGCTGCTCTCTGACCGTATTGTAGCTTTCATAATAAAACCAATACACTCAAGATTCAAACACAAGTTAAGAACAATTTTATTTTATTTTATTTTGTTTTTTTAAAGTCTTCATCTTCATAATTTTTATTCAAACAGATTTTTCTTTGAGTATCAAAATAAAATGTTTTACCATGTCTGAAAAAAGGGACTGGGAATGTCAGGTAAATTTGACTTTTACTTTTACTTTACGAATATCCCTGTGTTTTTCCACCTTTTTGAAATGTTTTTATTATTTTTTGTTATCAAGTCTGTGACTTCCATGACTCAAATGAGCTCACTAACATAAGAGTTTTACTTTGAAAATGCTACTCAATCAGAGAGCTCTGTTTTCTGTGGGCTTGACACTGGGCTGTAATTTGCCTGTACTGAAAAGTACTTTCCACACAACACATAGTGGAGACTGTATTTGTCTACTCTGACAGTTCAACAGTGTTTTTAGAAAGGAGGATTTGGATGATGGTCTGTGTTTGACAAACCAAAGATTCATCTCACTCTGTACGGCATAGTCTATTTAATGCTCTATACTGTCAGTGTCATTGATAGTCATTTTGTTCTGCTGTGGTAAACAGTTGGGAACATTTCCTATTTGAGTCACTTACTCCAGCTTTGAAATCATTCATGATAAAAAGGAACAATGAGTGAAGGGTCAGGACTCTCCTCCTTGTCTAGGCCAACTAGAATGAAATGTGACCGCCCCCTGCTGGTGTGGGCTCAACATCGCCTCTGAATTGTGGTGATAAAGTTGTGTGTAAGCATCCAATACTGTTTAGGCCTCTTATATTTTATATAAAGGATCAGAGAATTCAGTTTTTAATTATACAAAAAACACAAGAGAGGAGTCACAAAAACAGTCTGGGTATTCACTTACTATTATAGTGAATAATATTAACTTAGAACTAGGCCTACCTTTATCAAACACTTTATATAATATTCCTATATAGAGTAAAGAAATTCAATACAACTGTTCTGCCTAAAAGTCTACTTTTATGATGCTTGTTTTAGCATTGAGTTGATAGTTTAATGGTGTTGCACTGGACAGCATTGTACTGCCTTTATATGTGGCAGCTTTATCTATCTATCTATTAGGGCTGAAAGATATGCAAGATATGTAGGTGTTGCAATATAAGCCATGATTTGAGTTGGAATTGTCATTTTCGCATTTCCTTTTCACTAACACAAATATAAAAATGAATATAATGTGATTTTTGTTGGGGCTTGTACCATAAAAGCATGTTCCTTTTACGTCTGGAGAATATGTGAACGTTTGACCTATTCACATTTTTATTATCTATCCATCTATATATCTATCTTTAAAAAAAATATAATAATATAACATACAAAACCAACCATTGAGTTTCAGGCATATCCTTGAGTATTAATGATCATTTTTGGTAAATTTGTATTGGGCCTTTCATCATTCTATGACCTCTGCCCATCACTTGTGGGCATTATAGGCACAGATGACGGTTGGATGTGATTCAAGGCTTAGTGTTGTGTTAGCGCATTTAAATGATGACTTTGTTTTCAGCTCACCAACAGTTAAAAACAATTCAATGACACCAGAGATGATGGTCTGAACTGAGTCACAGTTATAAATATTTGTAAATGACATTTCTGAAATGAAATCAATCCATTGCTACATAAATGAATTAATTCAATATAATTCTTCCTGGCACTTGTGCGTTGATGAATTTCTTATTCTACATTCACTAACACAGGCTGGTCACATGTCAACCAATATGGCACCGGAAGTTCACTCCTGAAGTAAAGTCTTGGCTAGCATACTGTGATCTTCAGTGTTGGCAGACACATGCACTGTCACTGATTATTCAAAAATGATTCCTGTTAGAAACTGTTTAACCATTTAATGCAACAACAACTAAATCATTCTGGAATATCATCTTGAAAATATTATTTAGAAAATAGATGACAGTAGCTTAAATGCTGATGCGTTTGTCTAAAACAACAGAAATGTGTCAGCTCATATTGACAACCGCAGGTTATGTGAATGACAACTTCCCATATGACGCTGGGGGGCAGGACACGCAGAGGCGTTTCCTTACGCTGCTCTTACCTGAGCTGCCAGATCTCACCTGTCAGGTTGATACTCCGGTAACGATACAGAGCCATGGAGTCTCCGGTGAAGGATTCCCCCGTCAGACCGGGGTTTCACAGATTGGAGGTCCAAAAAACGACGTGGGACATCCCGGAGAGATACACGACGCTGCGATCGATCGGCTCCGGAGCTTACGGGACAGTTTGGTGAGTTTAACCCGGGGAGGGGGCGCAGGACTTCAGCCACTGGCGATGAAAGTTCCGCTTTGCCAGTGTTTGTTTCTTCTTTTGAAGAGCAAAATGCAGCGTGTTTGGGCCTTTTTTTTCTCTCATAAAAATATTTTTGTTCTGCCTTATACTGACAATTAATCCTATCCAAGGGGAAACCTATTCCTCATAGGAGAATGAACGCATTAAAGCACATAAAGGTATTTAAAATTAATCCACTCCCAACATACAGTAGGAACACTGGTAAACATGATCAAACGCACAGACTCAGCTTCATACTGTTGTGCAGATGGTCGAAGGTGCTCGTCTTTGTTGCTCACTATCAATATTCAAATGCTTTGCATCACAAATGATTTTCTATAGGCTGTGTAGGCCTCAAGTCTGCATTCCACTCCCGGAGTTTGCTGCATGAAGTCCAAGAGGCGCAGATTACTCTGACATCTGCTAACAGAAGCATCTATTGTCCACCTGAGGCAAGTCAGCAAGTCAATACAGGTCCTCCGATACGACAAGAATCTCTCCCCCCCCCCACCCCCCCTACACAGAACAAGGCCAGCCTATACAGGAATCCAAGCTATCTCAGACACAGCTCCATATAATGATAAGCCACTGACAGACTAGATCTTATCATACGTCACCTTTGCCTCTGGGGAAAATGTGATTATTTTCTGACACTTTATAGATGAAACAATTAATCAATTAATCAAAACCTCGAAAATGAGATGGGACATCTCGAGGGGCTATCCTTGTAAATAAAGAAAGAATAAAGAATGAAAGAATAATAAATAAATTTAAAAAAAACGATTGATAATGACAATAATCATTATATGCAGCCGTAGATTACATCAACCATATGAGTTATTTCATGAGCAAGTTGACTGTGTGTGTCATCTTCTTTAAGTTATAACATGTAACTTTTCCATATTAAAATGTATAGTGTAATATATAAATATAAGTGACCAGACCTATGTTATATATTATTTCTGAGTTGTGTACTTACATTATCCCAAATGTTTCCAGCAATTTTCAAACCCAGAGAAATACCTGACTTTACCTGTGGTAATGGTCCGTTTCATTTGCTCACCTGTCAATGACCTCATGCCCCCCGTGTGCATGTAAATTCAGTTTTTAAATTATACAAAAACCATAAGAGAGGAGTCACAAAAACAGTGTGGGGATCCACCTTTAGAACTGCCTTTATTACACACTCAGTGCCTGTATAGAGTAATGCAATCAAAGACTGCTCTGCCATTAGGGTCTACTTTTGTGATGTCTGTGATGTTTCCGCATCGAGTGGTGTCGTTGTACTGGACAGCATTATACTCTCCTCATACGTCCTCCTCCAGGATGCCTGCCAGAAGCTCAAAATTGAATTTTAAGCCACTTTTTTTTTTTTTTTTTTGTTTTCAACTATGTTTTTTAACCGGATGAAGGATTTTAGTCATTGAATGTCTGGATCTTTAAGTTGTCAGAGAAAAAAGCCAGGCAAATGTTAGACAGCTCAGCCCCCAGCCGCTTCCTGATGTCTCATGTCTGCTGTATAGCTTTGGCAAAACACTGACTTTAAATGTAAAACTACTCTATTCAGTGTTTCTACTGGTTATAATCACCTGGTGGGTTTGTTTTGAGGAGGAGACCTCAGCTCCTGGTAGAAACCTCCTGACTGACTGACACCGGAGGAATCCAAACTGGGAGAAACTTGATGGTGAAGACAACAACTCCCATGACCCCTCGCTATTTCACGATGTCACTGCCTAGCAGCAGAAGTTACATACTGTGTGTTTAATACTATGTTTTATTGCCACTTATAGCTCCGCCATTGACCAGAAGACCAAGGACAAGGTGGCCATCAAGAAGCTGTATCGGCCTTTCCAGTCCCTCATCCATGCCAAACGGGCCTACAGGGAGCTCAGGCTGCTCCGCCACATACAGCATGAAAACGTAAGAGCCTGACAGGAAGTGGGTATAGGTGGTTTTCAAGGGTGGACACAATAACATGAAAAAACTTTATTAATATGATACAATACAATACAATTGCCTGTCTAAGCACCACAGACTCCCTGTCATATTCCTAAGATGTGAATGTGTTATAATACACTGTGACTTTATTATGTAAAGTCACCCTCATTTTATATAAGAGATGCAGACGAGGTACTGAATTTTAATTTTGCTCACAATCTTCTCTCATTTTTCCCTCATTCTCTTTCAAAAACTGTTCAATTTTGAGAATAAACAAACTTTGTTGACCGTCAAACAAAAGCCCATAATGTGATCAATGGTCCCGGACAGCAGCCCTCATGACTCAGTATTTTCACTGAAAACCGTTGAGGAACTACAAACACTCACATAATGGTCTTTTAGTCTTTGCAGGACACCATATTCAATGAGTTTTAACTTTATTTAAAATCTTTTGTCATATGGAGACTCGTCAAGAAAAAACCCGTCATGAACTTTATATCTTGTGTTGTCATTTTCTGTTTTTGTGTTTAGAACTGATGAACATGACGTCAAACAGGAAATTCAATTGTAGCCACAAGTGGCGTTTCGCGGGTTAATTATGCAAAGTAGATATATATTATTTCTTCATACACTGACAATTTTCGTGTCTCTGGCTCGTTCCAGCTCTCTACACATTGAGCAAAGGCTTACAATAGCAGATATTGATGAATAGGCCGCACCCACTTTCATTAATCAATACGGCACTTCAGCTTTTGGTTAATACTCGCCACCAGAACATGTGCACCAAGTTTTGTGAAATTTTGTCCACCAGGTTTTGAGGTACACATTTTCATTGTTTGTAACGCACCCTGGACAATGATGTCAGTACTAGATGCACAAGTCCTGTAGAGGGGATCTCTGGGAAATGCGGTGCAGAAACATCACAGCAGTGACTGCGCAGATTAAAGATAGAGGCTGTGATACCTTAGAAACAGAGAGGCAACAGAAAGAGCTGACAATATAACATTTAAGACAGATGTTTACACAGATGTTTACTATGTGTTTCATAGGTCTGTGAATGAACAGTCATATTCTATGTTAATGTCTTCACTGTGTTTTTTCCTTGAAGGTGATCTGCCTCCTCGACGTCTTCACACCTGACTCCACACTGGAGAAATTCCAAACCTTGTGAGTTGGGGAGTCAGGAGCCACATTCTTCTGCGAGTTGCTGCAGCTTGTTGACACTCTGCGTGCGTGTGTGTGCATGCATGAGAAGGTTCAGTGTGTGTGATGAGCGAGAGCAAGCTTATTCTTGTTTGTTTTGTTTTTTTTTGCGCTGTTGTATTTCCTCAGCATAGCAACAAGCTCTTATCAGCCACAGTGCTAAGGGCCACTTTGTGTCCGCTCATCTATTTTTGTTTATTTATGCCTTTTCTTCTCTCTTGATGTTTGTCTCTCTCTCTCTCTAGTTATATGGTGATGCCATTTGTGGCCCAGGATCTTGGCCACATTATGAAGAGGAAGCGCTTAACTGATCGCATCATCACATACCTTTTCTACCAGCTTTTAAGAGGACTCCAGGTAAGTGTTTATATATTGATTTACCTCATTCTTATATTACAGGATGTTTTATATGACGCCCATAGGGACGCACAAAACACAAACACAATCCTCGCAATCAGAGAGCCAGAGGGTGAGAAGCATGTGGGTCTACCTGCTCTGCCCACAAACATTACTGTGTATGTACAGTTTAGTTTGTCTGTATTCTGTAATCTATAATCTGTCCTCTCCTTCTTCACAGTATATTCATTCTGCAGGGATCATTCATCGGGTTGGTATTTGAACCTTTTTATAATACACCACTTACTGTAGCCTTCACGTCTCCCTCATAATCAGCGTGTGTCATACGCTTAAAAGAACAGTTCAACATTATGGAAAATACAATTCTACACTTTCTTGCTGTTAAATATGAAGCTGGAGGCAGCAGCCACTTAGTTTAGCATAAAGACTGGAAATATGGGGAAACATCTAACGGCTTCCTGAAGTCACTGCGCCCCTCCATCCCACACAAAACCCCCTCAGTAAAACCACAACTTCACATTTTTATACTTCCATTACTATACGGATTAAACAGTTGAGCAGCGCTGTGCAGTAATACATCAGTAAAATTATTATTAAATCCTTTATTTAAACAGGTCGTCTCACTGAGATCGGGATCTGTTTTTCAAGAGGGACCTGTGTACAAAAATAGACATATACAGTGTATACATAGACAGACACACACAAATTCACAGGCATTAAAATGGACACAGATAATTCACAGACATACATTATACATTTTCACATAAGAAAAGAAAAGCATGTGCAAGTGTGATTGTAGATACATGAGCACAACCTTTTAAAATGTTCCAGTGAAATAAGAGAACGTAACTTCATATTGTTTTGGAGCTCATTCCATTTCTATGCAGCACAGTAGTTGAATCCAGTTTTTCTGAGTTCCTTGTGAGCAAGTTAAAATGTGCTGTGACCTGACGTTGTAAGTGCTGTATTTGAATATAACAAGAGAGCGGAGATAACTAGACGGTTTTAGAAATAAACAACACACAATGCGGCTCCCTTCTATTTGTTAAGGAGGACCATCCCACCTTTTCACATGGGATGCAATGGTGAGTGAGCAAAGTGTCACCTGTGATGAAGCGCAGTGTGCTGTGATACACGGAGTCAAGAGGCTTCAGCCATTTTCAAGAGCAGACAGAATTTTAGATTGTATAATGGCCTTTCGACTAGACGAGATACATGATCTGTTTCTGTACAAAAATCTAATTTTTACCTTCAGTTCCACATGGGTCTTAAAAGTGAGTGTGTTTCAATTTCATGACCATGAAGGGTTTGGATATGGGTTGTCGTTTCAAGGCAGCTTTGCTGGACCTGGGCTCAGTAACAAAAGAAGTTGTACTGACAGTTCTAACCATCAACGGGCAACCACGACCAAGACTCCTGTAGCGATTAATGTCCTCCAGAAAGTGTTTCTGCTCTGTGTTCAGTTCCACTGCTAGATAAGCAGCACTTCCTGTTTCAAATAACTTGCCCAACATTGCAAACTGAATGTAGCATGTTCATTTGTGAGCGTTAAAGGAGCTTGTAGGAATTTGGACAGAGCCTGGCTAGCTGTTTCCACTCTTCATGCTAAGCTAGGCTAACTGTGCTACTGCCTGTAGCTTCATATTTAGCATACAGACACAAGAGCGGTATCAGTCTTTTCATCCAACTCTCACCAAGGGAACAAGGGAGCGTATTTCTCAAAGTGTCAAAGTATTGCTTTAACCATTTCATATTTTATTTACTGCAAGAGGCTTTGTGCTTTTAAGAAACCTCATATGGTTTGATTTCAGGATCTGAAGCCTGGTAACCTTGCTGTGAATGAAAACTGTGAATTAAAGGTAGGTAAAAAATAACAAACAAAAAAACAATTAAGTTGATGATCAGCTTCAGCAATTTACATTTTACTTTTTAAATATGTAACTCAACCTTTTTGAAATTCTTTGACCTTTGAATAATCAATTGCGGAGATTACCTAAGATTCTCAGTGGTGAAGCTAACTGTCACTGGTCCCAGATCCTGGATTTTGGTTTGGCAAGACAGACAGAGAGTGAAATGACTGGTTATGTTGTGACCCGCTGGTACAGAGCACCAGAGGTCATATTCAACTGGATGCACTACAGTCAGACAGGTAATAATATTATCTTCCTTTAATACAAATAGTCATTTTATTAAAGAAAAAATATAGCAGAATAATGCAGGATGCTACGACAAAATATTAAATTTTTATTAATAAAATTCTCTGTCCCTCACAGTGGATGTCTGGTCAGCCGCCTGTATCCTGGCAGAGATGATTACTGGCAAGGTGCTTTTCCCAGGACATGACAGTATCCTATCACATTCAGCACAGTGGGTTGTGCTAAAGCTGTGCATGTTCAACTCAAGCAGCAACCGCCAGGGCTGAAAAATTAAGCCAACATGGACATTACAACAACTGCAGTTCCTCTAATGGCCACTTGAGGCTGACTCCAAAAGCAACTCAACCCCCATAGACTCCCATATTGAAATTACATTTTTTTAATAAATCTCACCTGTTTAGATTTTATTTAGGCTTAAAATTATGTGTAATTGGGGGCGTGGCCACTTTGAGTGACAGGTGGGTGAGTGTACGCTTGCTACAAATCAGCATGCACCAAAGTGTCAGCTCCTCACTCGCCCCACCTTTTTGCCCATTTTGGGATTAGCCAGGAGTTAGGACTACCAAGATGGTGATACAGGTCCAGCATTGTTAGACTCTATTTTACACATAAAGGTCAGTTTATTTGTCATATTCAGACTGTAAAACTGTTGTTTAATGGCCTCTGTGGCTGTGGAGGGAGATGTGTGAAGATTATCTGATGATGTCATTAGGGGGATCTTGGCTTGGTCTTGAAGGCAAATTTTTCAGCTGAAAGGCAGAGAAAACATACAAATTAGCCCTTTAAACTATGTCTTCCGTACATGTGACTGCTCTGACATGAGATTTACATGGTGCATGCTGTGCATTCAGAGGCTTCCCTAACCAGCCTGTGCAGGTATTGATCAGCTGAAAAAGATCCTCCACCTGACAGGAACACCAGACTCTTCCCTGGTTCAGAAGATGCAGAGCAAAGATGTGAGTTTTCTCTTGTCTACATGTCATATTTTTCCAGCTTACATCTGCAGCTTGTAGACCTCATATTTGGTATTGAAGCCAACGCATAGATGCAGATATCAGTGGAAAATTACTTTTATTTTACATATCTTTGTATCTTTGCTCTTTTTTGTTATGGTCTTTTCTTTGTTATAAGCTCTTGGTTTGGAATAAAATATAACCTTTATCACCTGTTTTCCAGGCGCAGTCATATGTGCAAGGTCTCCCTCTGCAAAAAAAGAAAAACTTCAAGGAAGTGTTTCCATCCATGGATGAAAATGGTGCATTGAACTGCTTCTACTTGTTGACTTAAATATATTATGTTTAAATTGATAAAGAAGAGACTTCATCAAGAAATGTAGTGACTCTTAAAACTGCAGTGAGTGGGGAGATTTAACTTTAAAATAGGTTTTGTGTCAAAAAAGCCAGAAACTTCAGCCTCATGGCCAAGTGGTGGTTGATATGTTTCTTTCAAATATAGTAAAAGTTTTCTGTTTTCTGTCTTGATGCTTCCAGCTGTAGACCTATTGGAGGGGATGCTGCTGCTGGATCCAGAGACCAGGCTGACGGCTAAGCAGGGATTGTCCCATCCCTTCCTGGCTGAATATCATGACCCAGAGTGTGAGCCGGACTCTGAGACGTACGACGACTCCTTCGAGAGCCTGGAGCTCGCTGTCGGCGAGTGGAAGAGTAAGTACGGCTGTGTAGGACAGGCTGGAGGTGACTGGTACTTGGAGGTTGGGACTCTTGCAGTACACATATGAAAAGTGAAACCAGAATGGAGAATAAATCAGTGGCTCTCAAACTTTTTTCACATCAAGGACCCGAAACTGAAACAAATTAGACCACGGACCCCCATCACATAAGATTTTTGAAACCCATGAACAAAATAGTCATCTATTCTGTCATTGTGTTACTTATGGATGAAATTAAGGTGAATATAAATTATTCCCCTTCTTGCCAGGAACCCCCTCAAGGACCCCTGAGGGTCCTGGGACCCTACTTTGAGAACCACTGGAATAAATTATTTTATTAAATCTGAAGTATTGCAATATTTAAAAATGATCAATACTTGTAAAAGTACCACAATATACTCTGTACTAAAATAAAGTCGGCACTTTCCTTTTTTTTTTAATCCAATCAGGTCTTATCCACATGGAGATCATGACCTTCGACCCCGACAACCCCAGTAAGACAGCCATGTAGGACGCTGTGATGTGCTGGCGCCTCCAAGTGTTTGGTTTTCATACCCACACATGTTACAAAGGTAAACACCACCTTCAAACTCAGAAACAAATAATAATAAAAGAAGTTCAAATGCATTTTACGTAAGGGAAGCTTTACTTGTTACAGTGGCCTGTAGTGGACAGAGAGAAAACAGAGAGTGTGAGAGTTGAAGTTTAAGTTGAAGTGAATGTGGAGGGGCAGTTGGATTGTACCTCAGACTTCATCAGAAACACTGAACCACTTCATTATAAAATGTTGTCTTGTCATTTCAATAAGGAAAATTACAGTGGCAAAATAATCTTAACTGAAGATCCACTTTCTACCACTGAGACTTTTGACTACATCTCATGGTTTTCATCAGCAGAACACTTCACTGCTCTGTGAAATGTCACATGTTCGTGATAGACTTTAAGTTAAGGTTGAAGGCTATTAAAAAAATGTATGTGTATGTATGTGTATGTGTGTACTTGTATATACAAGTATATAGTAAAAAGATAACCTTGGTTTATGATAAAAATACTTTTTTACGTTTTACCTTTCATCTCACACGTACAGTTGCGTTTGTTTCATAATGTGTAAAGGACATTTAGTGCAATGGCACTTTAGGACTCATTTGTAAAGATATGGGCATTTATTGTTGATCATCATTGCTTTTACTCAAGTGTTTTCAAATAAAACTAAAAAAAAACAAATGGCATGCTGTTAATTTAATGACGTTAGAATCATCATACTGGAGATGCAACACTGATTAATACTGAAACATCTACACCAGTCTAAAACAGGGGCCCACTGGTGGACGGTGGAGGTAGTGCAAGTGGGCCGACAAATCATTTGCAAACCTGTACAATTTTGGTGAAAAAAATGTAATATATATTATATGTAATATATATTTAAATAATGATAATAATATATAATGTTTTTAAATGTTTTAAAACAACATGATCTTTAAAAGTATTGAAAATGTTTTTTTTTTTTTTTTTTAAACCAAACATTGTATTGTTTTGGGTTTTTTTTCTCGTATTAATTTAAGACCTATCATGGAGATGAGCCATGATAGGACCTTCTATGTACATTACATCCATGGCAAAAAAAGGAGCATCAAAATGGATAGCTGGTTAGCAACAGGAAGAATTAAAAAGCATTCATCTCAATCCTGAATATTCAATCATAATCATTAAAATAAAAAGTGCTCTGAAAAGGCAATATTAGTTAGAGCTGAGTTATGGAACAGGAAGGAATCAACTGAGGAGGGCAGGCAAACAAAAATCCAAACTAGTGAAATGATGAGACTGGGCTAAACGTGGCAGGTGACAAAGATTTGGACCTGAAGCACAGGAAAACAGGGTTGAATAATGGCCAGAGGTGTTTTTGAAAAACATTATGATGTCACAGTGAAGTTACCTTTAACCATTTGGATATAAAATGTCATGTCAATTACTGAGATAAAACATAATGCCTTGGCCGTAGCGTCAATATCACACAATGTGACTGAACAAGGTAGGCAGAGAATGCAGAGATGAGCCAGGCTTAAATGCTGCTGCAGGGTGTGGAGTTGATTGGCAGATGAAGAACAGCTGTGCTGGAACCTGGAAGCCACGCCCAGCTAGTCAGACACACATACACACAGACAGACATAGAGGGGAAAAGGGCCACAGAGGCCTAATCCGAACAGCTTTTATCTATAATCAGGAAACTGGACTCATGAGATGTAAGCAAGAGCATCTTAGAGACTGTTTACAGACATCTTGTGGAAAGTGTTTTAACTTTTTAAAATTTTTGTACATGGTTTAGGCGCCTGGAGTCTCAGATTTCTCAGGTCCTTTACTTAAAAAAACTGCCAATAAAGATCTGACAATAAACATTATAATACTGTAAATCATCAGATAATAGAGTCGACCACTAGAGGGAAGCATTTGATCATACAAATGATGAAGAAGTGGGGTGATGGTCCCTGTTGGTTTGAAAGTATTCTTTTTTTTCTTACATTCAGTATATGCAGTTCAGTATAATAATATGGTTTCCATCTGAGACATTAAAAAAATATTTCTTGTCGGTGGCTTTTCAGATAAAGAGATGACCTCACACTCGCAGCATGACGAGAGTTGAATGTAGTAGTGAACTACAGGTTATTAAACTAGTAGTTTAACGACCCTTTAACGAGCCTCGACCACTGTGAAGTCATGCCCAGGCAATGCATTTGTCAGGCAGTCAATACCATACACTTGACCTTTGTTTTGCACATGTGCAATCAAGCCAAGGGCAGGTGTTGCTCATCATCATGGATGAATCTCCTGATGAATCTCAGCCTGAGGAAGAATCACCATGGTCATACTTAAGCAGTTATAGTATAAAAACCAAAGCAGACATTAAAGCACTTTCCCATCTGTGCTATCTGTGCTACATTTTAAATATTCTGGTGCCCTCGCTTATAGAAATGTAATTTAAACTGAGAGTCTTGGGCCCAAACATTTCCTTTGGATGAATTAAGTTCTGCCTTATCTTTTATCTTCCCCTCTATCTTCATTATTCAGTGCATCCCACAGACGGACATGCCTCTCGTGTCACACCCCATCACCACTCCAACATCCTCCAGTGAGCTCCATTGTTTCATGTGTTTGTATGGGCATGTTGAACTCATCACTCGTTGCTCTCATGTTTGGCAGACTTTGAATATAAACCTCACCAACTTGCAGTGCCGTTTTTACTTCTTGGTCATAGGTGTGGCACCTCTATAATATTTCTGTCTCCAGTTGAGTCATTTTGCAGAATGTTTTGCTGAGGTGCTGAGTGATGAAGGGTGATTTTGCATGTCAGAGGATTTCATCTGTCAAGCTGTGAGAAAAGATGTCAGTAAAATTTGATTTTTCCCAGGTCCATGTGGCAGATAGCTTCCTTTAAAGTTATCTTACCACTCATTGAAAACATGAATGACTCCTCAGTGCTAAATATATCCACATTATTGTTTCTATTGTCAGAGTAGCTTCTACAAGATGTTTTATGTTTGTGTTATCTCTTGAAAATACAATCAGCGGCTCCTGGACACTGATAAATCACGGGGATGATAATAATTTTGTAGATATAGTAGGCTATTGCCATATTTCAACACTTTTTCAGTAATGCATGAGCGTGGCCTACCAACAGCACAAGCCTGAACTGCAGTAACTAGATACATAGTACTTAGCCACAGCGAGACGCCCCGCTTCTCCATGGACGACTACCACAAACTTTTACTGAAGATTGCAGTGCTGGAAACTAAAATTGGTTATTGGTTAGAAGTGAACGTGGAGGTGAATGGACTCTGTGGGAATGACACTATCTTTCCAAAGTCAAAAACAAAAGGCACAAGTGTAAGCAATGGATTAACTGTGCTCGTCTGCTCTAGCATTCCCTGCTAACTAGCTTATAGTTAGCAGCCGAACTAGCATTAGATCAACTTCATCACTTATATCGCATCCTCTCATCCTTTTGTCTTGTAAAAGTGAAGCTTATAGTTTAACCAATGTTGTTGTGTTAAAGTGTTTTCTATGTCTCTATCTATCTGTCTAATACTGGATTATAGTCCTAGGGCTAACCAGCTCCACGCAAGAGAAATATTTCTTAATTTTTATATCTTCCACATGGATCATCAAGCTAGTGAGGATGTTGATTTTTTTGCCAGAGGGAATCGTAGAGCACTATAACATGTAGGTAGCCATCAAGTGCACTTTTCAGACCAGTTCACAGCTGTCTAGTTTTAAAACAATTCAGCTGGAAATATTAAGAGCAGGCCAGTTTTCAACCAACTCAGTTTTAGCATTAGCTTGTAGACTACTAGCTAGATATAGCCAAGACAATCCATAGTTGTGGGCTACAAATGAAAACCCTGCTTTTGTTTACTTCGGTGTGAAATTAATTTAAATGTATCATTGTAAACTGTCAAACCTGATTAGCAAAGTGTCCATTATAAAATGATTTGTATTGTAAAGTCGTACTACACCAACAATGAACGACAAACAGATCTGCCAGAGTGGATATGAACACAGATTTATTTCAAATGTTTTGTTGGTACAAGTTCACAACAATAAATCTGGTTGTCCAAGTCAGCCATAACCATGTTTTTTTTTATTCAGAGTGAAAATGGAAGTAAAAGGAATGATAAAAAAAAAAACAATTTACTGAACTGGAGAGCTCATTTTCCCTCCAACAGGAGAAGAAAAAGAGGATCCCAAAAATCAGATATGAAAGTGTTATGTGTGGCTGCTTTTGATGATGTCAAACTGCACAACAAGATGACAGATGTGTGACAGCAGAAGAGACATTAGAGAGGACTTATAGGTGTGACACTATTTGGCTGCCTGCCATGTATGCTTTATAGATTCAAGACAAAGTGCCACATCCACACCTCCTTCTGTGCAAATTGCTGTTGTCATTTTGTGTGCAATGATTGTTGCCTTGTAAGGATTCTCTGTCATGACACTACAAGTATCCTCTTGTCTACACAACAGCACATCCAGCAACCAAAAGGCAGCCTGGCTGACTGATCAAAAGAGAGGACTGACTCACGAATCTGTTGCTCTTTGTTTTTCCAGTCTAATAATCTCTCTGCTCTTACTTGTACTTGGATGTAATCACTGACTCTCTGTGGGTATGTGGTGCCAAGAAGCAGTACACAGGAACTAAATGCCAAAGAGAGCTACACCATTAATGGATCTGCTAGTTGTAAATGGTCAAATGGCTGTCCTGTGTCTGCAAGGCAAGAGGTGGTGGGGACAAAGACAAAGAAAATAAAGATGAAGAAAGAAAAATGGAGGTAAAGACAACTGCGATTTTTAGTAACGGCGAGAAGAGACTATGGTGCTGCTTCTTTGGCTGATGCTGCTGCCACCGCCTCCTCCTATGCTCATGCCTGACAGGCCCATTCCGCTGCCACCAATGCTCATGCTGCTACCATAGCCGCCGCCGCCGCTCAAGCTCAGGCCGCTGCCATAGCCGCCACCTCCGCCCATGCTGCCCATCATGCCGCCGCCGCCGCCCAAGCCGACGCCCATGCCGCCGCCCATGCCGCCTCCTGGTGATGAGAAAAAGATGTTTTCAGAGAAAATGGCAGAAATTTGAATTTTCTTATGTCATATGCTGTTTTCACACACATCAATAAAAGTGATGTTTTATTGATGTTATTTCTTCATGAACACCATAGAACTGACTTAAAAATGACTTGAAATGTACAGACATGTTGATACATACCAAAGCTGCTGCTTGAGCTCTGTATGTGGATGGTTGCAGATCCACCACCGGAGGAAATTCTGCAGAGAGGTACATAAATGCGCAATTTGAGCTGCTGATGCTGCTGCCTGCACAATGTAATGCAATACACTGAGAAGATTAAATGTCCAAAATAGCTGAGTGTTTACCTGGATTCCTCTCCTTCCAGAAGCTTCCTGTAGGTGGCGATCTCAATGTCCAGAGCCAGCTTGACGTTCATGAGCTCCTGGTACTCACGGACCTGGCGGGCCATGTCCTGTTTGGCTCTCTGCAGGGCGTCTTCCAGGTCCTTGATGCGGAGCTTGGCGTCCTTCACAGCCAGCTCACCGCGCTCCTCGGCCTCAGCGATCTGGGCCTCAAGGTTGGCACGCTGAGAGGT